TAATTTATGTAACGAACAGGACTAGAATTCGAACTCGACTTTTCAAATTTCCATTCCAAGCCACTATCCATTAACTCATCTGCACAACCTTTGATATATAGAAAATATTTGTAATGACCCATCTAAGACGATTTTTTCATGCTGTCGCAAGTCAAGTTATGGGCGTCTAGGTATATTTGTTGATAATAAGGCAAATATCAGTTGAAAGAAATATTAATAGCAACTATATTGTTTTTTTTTATTAAAGGTGCTTCGTAAAGGAAACAACAGATTGTACGGTCATTAGCGAGAGAGAGAGAGAGAGAGAGAGACCAATATGCGTGCTACAAATTGGTGACCTCAAAATAAATCAAATTACAGATTTCACTTTCGTGAAAGTGAACAGACTGACGATGGAGAATGTAACAATGATATATGAAGGGGCATTGGAATAGCCGAAGATGCCTTCCAAAAGCGAAGCAAAGTGTTGGAAAATGGAAAATCTTTGTTAGAAACAAAGAAAAAGTGCTAAATATCGGTTTCCCTATTTATAATATTTACATTGTTTGGACTGTTGCCCTCATTTTTGTTGTCCTATTCACGACGTTTCGACCCTTGTACGATTCGACCATCTTCAGATGCTTGAAATTTTGAACCGACCCTTTTATTTCGTAGATTATTCTAGTATCTCTTTTGAGATTAATACTTTTAAAAATATTTTATTTTTATTAGTATTAGTATTTTCCCCTCCTCTTTCTGGAGATTTCGCCAACATACTTTGTAGCGTTTTCGTCTCGGATCCACTTCCAGTTCTTCAGTCAGGTTTATTTTTCTGAAACGTGTCCTTGTAGATTCCCCAACTTGTTGTCGTAATGGCACATTGAAAACATCATATAGCATTTTTATCTGATCTGCCAATGTTTCTTGTCTTTCATCGATTAACCTTTTTTTCCAGTTGATTTCTGATACTATGCCGCCTTCCAAACTTTTCTTTGCCATCCTCTAAACCAGGGGTCTGCAACTCATTCGACCCCGCGAGACGGATCGTGTTATAATGACGGGTCGCGGGCCGGACGAAGGCCATCAATGAAAAATTAAAGAAAATTACATATGCAGAACCCTGTCAACCTAAATATTTAAAACCATAATGAAAAATAAACATTGAGAAATCAGAAAAACAAAAGAAAATCTAAAATTAAAAAAACACCTAACAAAAATTACTTTTCCTCAAAGAACGTCAAAATACTTCAAAATGAAAAAAAATCAACCGAAGTTAAATGGATGAAATTATGACGTGTAGGTTTGAAACTGTTATTGAAAATTGTTCCACAAACGAACCACACACACACACACACATCAAACAAAAACGAAGCAACTTACATAAAGTAGGTATCAGGGGTAAGTGATGGAGGGGTCGCTGTTGGAGGAATGAAATAGAAAGCCGACTGAGACAACATTGTCCCTTTTGTCGGTCGGTCGGTCAAATCGGCTCTCAGTTTTTGTTTTATGTTTATTTTTTTAAAATTTTTTACGCTGAAATGGAGGTGATTGGGTTTTGATCCTGTTTTTGCGGTCATAGTATTCAAATTCGGTTGGGTGGATCAGAGGAAGATAACAGCAGGCCTTTTGTCGAATTCGAAAGCCTCGTCTCTCATGTTAAAAATAGAGTCATTGGTAATCAGGTTCGCGGGCCGGTCAAAATGCCTTCGCGGGCCGGATCCGGCACGCGGGCCGTAGATTGCCGACCCTTGCTCTAAAGAATACTTTATCGCCGACCTTGAAACTTTTCTTCTCATTTTTGTTATCCGTTCGTCTTTTCGACTTGGTAATAACTTGTCGAACGCCGATTTTACTTTCCTACCAAACAAGAATTCTGCCGGCAACATATGCATTGGTGTATTGGGGTTAGATGTTACGCGGTAAACTCTTAGAAAATTTTGAAGTGCTTCCTCATTTACTTTCCCAAAACTTGCTTTCTTCAAAGCTCTTTTGAACGTTCCGTTAAACCATTCCGCTTGTCCGTTCAGCCTTGGGTGATACGGCAGAGTCGTAATATGTTCACTGGAGAACATCTTACAGAAGTCTTCGAAACCCATATTGCTTCTCTGAGAAAAGGCCCTGCGATGATGAACCAGTTGATTAGGGCCTCTAGGAGTTTCCTCCCCAAAGAGGAAAAGGCTAATAGGCCAATAGTTGGCAGGGTAGGACGGCTCACAAGAGTTCTTAAAAAGCTCTGCAAGCTTTCACTATTTTTTCAATATCTTGGTCAATTTTTTTCCAATATACGAAACTTCTCATCAGAGATTTCATTCTTGAAATATCAGGATGTCCGCTCTGAAAATCTTTCAATATTCACTTCTGTAACAAACTAGGTAACACAACCCTTTTCCCGAACATTACTACACCATTACATGATGAGTAAGTGTTTAAATCTGGATTTCATTCTTTCTTACTTTCTTTCAGTTGCTTTGTTTATTTATTATCGCCATTTCCGCTTTTTCTTTTATTTCTTCCAGGATAACTGATAACTCTCATGCTACATTGCACAAAATGTTTTTTTTTTATTTCCATTTTGCTTTTTAGTGCTGCAATGATCGTGTCCTCAAATGGTTCTACATTTTTAGATATTAATCTTGATAATCCATCCACATGTCCTAATTTTTGAGACGGTTGGTACCCCATCGGAAATTCATAGATGGTACCCCAGCGTTGTATTCTATTAGCAGTATGCGTCGGTATTCCTGTCTTTCAACCATATGTTGTTAACAGAGTTCTGTGGTCTGTTTGCAACCTAAGATTTCTTCCATGAATGAATTTATGTAATTTTGCCACAGCAAATATAATTACTAGGGCCTCTTTTTCAATCTGGTTGTAATTTATCTCTGCTAGTAGAAGCGCTCGTGAAGCATGAGCGAAAGCTTTCATTTTACCGCCATCGTATTTATGTAAAATCACCGCCCCAGTACTCACTATCATCTGACGCCACTACAATTACTGCTTTTGGATCTTAGTGTGCTCATGATAAATCTGATGTAATTTTTTTTTATTTCGTCCAAACGCCTTTAGATAGTTATCATTCCAGTCTCCCTTTACTCCTTTTTTTTAAGTAGATCGTTCAGTGGAACTCTTAAATTATGCATATTATGCACATATATTTGATTTAGCGAGTCCTAAAATAGCTTTAACGTAGTCACGTTTTTTGGTGGAGGCATATTTTTAATTGCACTTGACGACCATTGTTATCAGCAATTTGACCAAGGTATTTCATTTTTGACAAAAACAATTCGCATTTTCTTCACTGAGCTTGAATCTGCATCCTCTTAGTTTTTCCAAAATTATTTCCACATGCCTAACATGTTGTTCTTTGGATACACTTTTAATTAAAATGTCGTCCAGATACGCCACTGCGAAATCGCAATCCGCAAACATTGTACCCGTAGCTTATTGAAAAATATCTGGCGCCACCTTTATACCAAAAGGAAGTCGGTTAAACTTATATAAAACTCTGTGTATATTTATGGTCGTTAATTCTGAACATTCATTTTGTAAATACACTTCAGAGAGATCAGCTTTGAAAATATTCTCACGCCGTTTAATTTGGTAATGGGTACTTCTGTTTCTAAACAACTGTTTAATCCTGTCGAGAAATCCGCGCATCCACGGATTTTCTTTTTCTTTAGATACACTGCTGGTGCTGCCCATTTTGTATGGTTGATTTTTTTTACCATTACACCAATTCATACGAGTCTGTCCAACTCTTCGCTCAGTTGTTTCAATCCTACGAATAGTAAGCATCGTTTCAGCTTAAATTACTGGCGTCGAAACTTTTTACTTAAAAATCCACCTTGAATTTTGAACACCGACCCAGTTCGTTTGACAGAATATCTGGAAAACATTTTTTTAATTCTTCCTTAAGATTTTCCTCTGACTTTTTAAATTGGTCACTTCTTATCTACTTACGTTTTTACAATAAACATTTATCGACAAATCCTAAAGTTAAAATATTTCCATCCAGTCAGTATCGAATAATTTCGTAGCATTTTTAATGCATAAGCTTTAGTTTTTACATGTTTATTACGGAATCAAAAGCTCTTTATTTATAGTGATAGATTAATTCATATAGTCACCGGGGGTGGACTATTTACTCCACAACAGAATTGTAAATGTTTCCTTATAAGGAAAAGACTAATTTCACAATTATTATTATCATCTCTTGTCCTATTAGTTTTTCTTAATATTCGGAAGAGTGAGACGGAACCAGACCCATGGCAATATCGCATAATTCGGTTTACATTAGCTTTGATTCTTCAAGTTCTTCGCACTTATATTATATATTATATTATATTTTAAGATAAAATATCTCTTCACCGCTAAATAATTAGTCTCATCGAATTTTAAATCACAATTTTACTTATCTGAGTTTCGTATCCCTCGTCACCATTGTTATGACGTGCTCCGTGGTGCTTATAATATAAGTAATACTTCGACAACTTTCCGTGACGCCTATATTACTTACTCTGAACACTGACTCCAAACGACTTCTGATATTTACCAAAACTCCCACCAGATGTGGCACAAAACCGGTTTTTACGTGGGGCGTAGCTTCGGGCAAAAAATCCCCGGATTTGACTACCTCCCCAGACGAGACCCTGCCCATAGTCATGGCCTCTTTTGTGTTCCTCTCTGTTCCCAGAGAGTTCGACAAGCCGGTCGCGAGTCTGGCAGGGAACTACCTTACTCGAAACAGATTCTTTTTCTTACCTCTAACCTGGAACTCTTTAAAGTTATGGTCTAGGCCATATAGTCACCGGGGTTTACTATTTACTCCATAACAGTAATCGTCCCCAAGTGTCACGCTATGTAAAAGATGGAGAAGAAGAAAATTTTAAACCAGTATCAATTTTAAGGTGAAGTTTGTAAGTATTAGATTAACTAGAAAAAGTATATAAACTTACTTTTTTATTTAAAAAGAAAGGGGTGAAATGGTGAAATTTATAATAAGGACGGAAGGCTTGGAAAACTTAAATCTCACGGGGCATATCAAGGGCAAAATAGATAGGGGAAGGAAACAGGCCACTTAACGAACTGACGAACTTGTATGAATGGAAAAGATGGTAAAATGTTGGGGGGGAAATAGATGGCAGATGTGGGTGAGAATGAATGGCAGAATATGGGAAAGAATGGATGGCACAATGTGGGGGAAAATGGATGGCACAATGTGGGGGGAGAATGGATGGCAGAATGTTGGGGAGAATGGATTGCACAAAGTAGGGGGGAGAATGGATGGCAGAATGATGGGGGGAATGGATGGCACAATGTGGGGGAAAATGGATGGGAGAATGTGGGGAGAATGGATGGCAGAATGTTGGGGAGAATAGATTGCACAATGTGGCGGGAGAATGGATGGCACAATGGGGAGGGAAATGGATGGTATAATGAGTGGGAGAATGGATGGCACAATGTGGGGGAGAATGGATGGCAGAATGTGGGGAATGGAACAATGTGGGGGAAAATAGATGGCACAATGTGTGGGGGAGAATGGATGGCACAATGTGGGGGAAAATAGATGGTACAATGTGGGGGGGAGAATGGATGGCACAATGTGGGGGGAAAATAGATGGCACAATGTGGGGGGGAGAATGGATGGCACAATGTTGGGGAGAATGGATTGCACAATGTGGGGGGAGAATGGATGGCACAATGTGGGGGAAAATAGATGGCACAATGTGGGGGGAGAATGGATGGCAGAATGTTGGGGGAGAATGGATTGCACAATGTGGGGGAAAATGGATAGGAGAATGTGGGAGGAGAATGGATGTCAGAATGTGCGGGGAGAATGGATGGCAGAATATGGGGGGGGAATAGATGGCACAATGTGGGGGTGGCAAAAAGGGAAGCTAATGTCATATTCATTGAAAGAATTTTAGATTAGGCATGAATTGATTACTTAGAATTACAAAGGATAGGGAGTTGTGGAGAGCCATTATCGTACTGAAGAGACACGGTAGATGAAAGAAAAAGATGTTTAACAGGTATTTATTGTATAAAAATATGTATTTATGCATTATTTTAATTCAAAAAAGCTGATATGTTATTAAAAAAAATTACTTTTTGATTGCCCGAATAGATATGAACGAAAAGAACTATAAAAATAAGGAAAAAATAATTTATTTAATCCCTTATATGCAAAATACATATCCATTGGATTTCAAAAATAGGGGCATAGGAAGTTGGGGAGATACATGTCCACCAATGTCCTGAAGAGGCACAATATATACAAGAAGAGAAAAGAAAGAAAGAACAGAATGATGTACATGGAGATAGATAGATAGATAGATAGATAGAGATAGATAGATAGATATGAACGGAAGATAGATAGATAGATAGATAGATAGATAGATAGATAGATATGAACGGATGAGATAGATAGATAAATGAATAGATAGAGATAGATAGATAGATAGATAGATAGATAGATAGATAGATAGATAGAAATGAACGGACTGAGATAGATAGATAGATAGATAGATAGATAGATAGATAGATAGAAATGAACGGACTGAGATAGATAGATAGATAGATAGATAGATAGATAGATAGATAGATAGATAGATAGAAATGGACTGATACAGATAAAATAAAAGAAAGAAAGAAAGAAAAGAAAAGAAAGAAGGAAAGAAAGAAAGAAAAAGAAAGAAAGAAAGAAGACAAGTTAACTAAGTTCAAATTTTGATCAGGACAGCTGATCTCATATTTACAGAAATGATTTTAGAGGAGGCATGAATCCACTTTCCCTGCCTTATAGATCTTCTTCAATAATATTAACTCTGGCTTTTGTACATGCGATTGAGAGAAGAAACAAAAGCGAGTAAGATTTGCTTATTATCGATAATAGAAAAAATATGGATTGACTGCATGGTCGGAAGCCAGTGACTATCTCTCTGAAGAAAACGCCCACATACACCTAAAACCCTCAGACAAATTATGATATATAAATATAACAAGGAATACGTCTGGCAATATACACAGAGAGAAATCGTTATGCAAGTCGGAATAGGAACTAGACACAAGATAACCAGGACTAAAAGCCAAGCCTACGAGTGTCTATCATTGAGGAGACTGGCGCCTTGACTTATTCTTCCTTTTATAGTTCGACTTAACAGCGCATGCGTGAAAGCGCATTTGAAATTCGATATGTATCGGAGCAAAGTTTGAAAAGACGTCTTCGAAGCCAAATCAAAATTGGTCGATCGATCGGTGTTTTTAGCCGTCGATCAGGTATCAAATGGTTTCGATTTGGATGAGGTCTTCCGAGGACTGTAAAATATGGCAGTAAGTAACATAGGTATGCAATGTTTGCGAGGGTATGCAAGAATATATACACCTAAATATTCATATATAGATACACTTAAGCTTATAAAAACACATACGTATGTGTGTGTGTATGTGTGTGTGTGCGCATGAATGACGGAAAGAATATGTATTCAATGTTTGTGGCTATTTGCTACGAGTACGTATTTAATTCTCTGTGAATAGCTGACTAGATAGATAGATAGATAGATAGATAGATAGATAGATCTGAACATATTTAGATAGACATGAACAGATAGAGATAGATATGATCAGACTGAGACATATGCATAGACTATATATATATATATATATATATATATATATATATATATATATATATATATATATATAAATTGAGATAGATATAGATATGAACAGATTAGATTTATGATCAAGCTGAGACAGATATGAATAGGCTGAGAGATAGATAGATGAATGATAGATAGATAGATAGATATATAGATAAAAGATAGATGAAGATAGAAAGAATAGATAGATAGATATGAATAAAATATATAGATGATGATGATGATATGAATGAATAGAAAGAATGATAGATTTAGATGTAAGATTTGATAGATAGATAGATTAACTAAGATAGATAGATATGTAATTCTCTGTGAACGACTGACAATACAGATAGATATGATAGATAGATAGATATTCGATATTTGTTGAATAGACTAAGATAGATAGATAGATAGATAGATAGATAGATAGATAGATAAGATAGATAGATAGAATAGATAGATATGAAAGACTAAGATAGATAGATAGATAGAGAGATAGATAGATAGATAGATAGATAGATAGATAGATAGATAGATATAGAATTCTTTTAAATTAAGCTAACATTTAATAATAATTATTTTCCTAATCCCACTGTTAATGAAAAGATAAAATTATTTTTGCCCAAACTATTCCTAGTAACTTATATAATTACAAAATAGATGCACCTCCATTTAAGAAAAGGAATAAAAAAAATTCATTGTCTCCCGAAGAGAGTAAAAATTGCCTATGATTCGTCAAATCAAAAAAAAATTAAAACATAATGGACTAACAACACTTCTCCACAAAAAGTACTTTGCAAAGAATGAAAATATTTTCTACCAACATTTTCAGGGCAACTGCTCTAAAGAGCTTTTTTCTCCGGTGCCCTGACTCCATGAATTCAAGCGCGTTACTATATTGGCATCTAGGTCCCACTAGTTCACTGTTGACATATTTAAATGCAACCGCCTCTTCTACTTTTAAAAACAGTTTCTTTTCTCGCACAGCCCGCCTGTGGAACTCTCTTCCCTTTACTTGCTTCCCTGATAACTACAATCTTCCAAAAATTTAAATATAACGTCAATCTTGAATCCTGTTAATCTTTTGTCCTTTGCTTATTCCTCTCTATTCTCAGACTTCTCTTTCACTTTCACTCACTGTAACCCGTTGCGTAGTAGTGGCATTATCGCCTTGCTTGGGGTGAAATGATTAAAAAAATCTACGTGTCACATCCATTCTCTGACGCACGTTACGGTACTTTCTGACACCACCTTCGAAGCCATTGCATCTGAAGGAGATCTTATCTTCCCGCTATGCTAATAACCAGCCTTCATATGCAATAGGGGGCTAACGGACAAAAAATTAGCAATGGTTTGGGACCTGTCGTCTATTCTCGCCTTGTTTTATTCTTCAGACGAAGCAGTTTATCGAGATGTGGTCGTTGTTGCATGCAGACGGCTAATTGAACTCGCAGGTAAAGGTTTGATGCTGGGTGGAAGCCAACGCGGACAAACTGCTAACAAGAGAGTACGACTATCCACCCGTCAGAGGTATTATCCCTCCCGACATTTGAAGCAACACCCCAAGCTTGTTAAAATATACTTATCCCTCTAAAATCACAACGCCGTTTGACCCAAAGCTTATTAATGTGATGTAATGGTATAAACTGTCACACTTATGAGTGACTTCATTTTTGGTAGTAACTGCCTATAAGTAGCTGTAAGTCAATGAACTACAGAGACTTACTGGAATCTGGCAGAGAGGAACCCGGACGAGACTCTGCCGAAGGGCAGAGTCTCGCTCGGGTAGGTTGACCAACCCGATTCTGTTTTTACAGTTTCTACGGGAATTTTTTAGCCGAGCCTACGGGCTCGGAAAACCCACGTAAAACTCGGCCTTGTGCCACATCTTTCCCTCGTGGTGGGGGGAGTCAAGTAAATATCGACTTGCTGGGATCTGTTATTCAGATCTTGGCTGTGTCGAACTCTCTGCCTTCGGGCAGAGAGGAAACCGGACGAGGCTATGCCGAAGTGCAGGGTCTCGTCCGAGAACGTAGACAGACCGGAAACCGTTTATGCAGGGTTACTGGGAATTTTTGGTCGCGCCTACGGGCTTGGATTGGCCCGCATTAAACTCGGCCTTATGCCACATCGTTCCTTGTGGGGGAGGCAGATAAATACCGACTAGCTGGGATCTGTTACTCAGCCCTTAGCTGCTGTCGTAGTCTCGGGCAGAACGGAACCCGGGCGAGGCTATGCCGAAAGGCAGAGTATCGTCCAGGGAGGTAAACAGGCCCTAACCCATTTATGTGGGTTCCACGGGGAATTTTTGGCCGTGCCTAGGGGCTCGAATTGCCCTATATTAAATTCTGCCTTGTGCCATATCCCACCCCGATGGGAGGTTGGTAAATATTACTAGCTGGGATCTGTTAAGCGCGACTTAGAATGACGCGCGAACTACCGATATTCCAATAGTAGCACTCACTGCTGAATTGACTTGCGAAGAACTTATGTATAACTGTTAGGTATATAAAACTTTACTTATTTTATCCATTTTGTTTTTCAAGTATATATTCCTATTAGCACGGAATATGACATATTCAAATGTAATGTCACTCGACATCTTCATCTTGGTCCACGTCGTACTCTCCATCCTTTACTCAAACATCCATCTTTTCTCATGATCTCACTCTATTTAAGCCTTTGCTCTCACTCTGTCTAACCTATTGCTCTCACTCTGTATAAGCCCTTGCTCTCACTCTGTCTAACCTCTTGTTCTCACTCTGTATAAGCCCTTGCTCTCACTCTGTCTAACCTCTTGTTCTCATTCTGTCTTAGTCCTTGCTCTCACTCTGTCTAACCTCTTGTTCTCCTCTGTCTTAAGCCCTTGCTCTCTCTCTGTCTAACCTCTTGTTCTCATTCTGTCTTAGTCCTTGCTCTCACTCTGTCTAACCTCTTGTTTTCCTCTGTCTTAGTCCTTGTTCTCTCTCTGTTAAACTCTTGTTCTCACTCTGTATAAGCCCTTGCTCTCCTCTGTCTAACCTCTTGTTCTCACTCTGTCTTAGCCCCTTGCTCTCTCTCTGTCTAACCTCTTGTTCTCACTCTGTATAAGCCCTTGCTCTCCTCTGTCTAACCTCTTGTTCTCCTCTGTCTTAGTCCTTGTTCTCTCTCTCTCTGTCTAACCTCTTGTTCTCCTCTGTATAAGCCCTTGCTCTCCTCTGTCGAACCTCTTGTTCTCCTCTGTCTTAGTCCTGGCTCTCTCTCTGTCTAAACCTCTTGTTCTCACTCTGACTAAGCCCCTTGCTCTCACTCTGTCTAACCTCTTGTTCTCCTCTGTCTTAGTCCTTGTTCTCTCTCTGTCTAACCTCTTGTTCTCACTCTGTATAAGCCCTTGCTCTCTCTCTGTCTAACCTCTTGTTCTCCTCTGTATAAGCCCTTGCTCTCACTCTGTCTAACCTCGTGTTCTCACTCTGTCTAAGCCCTTGCTCTCACTCTGTCTAACCTCTTGTTCTCACTCTGTATAAGCCCTTCCTCTCACTCTGTCTAACCTCTTGATCTCACTCTGTCTTAGTCCTTGTTCTCTCTCTGTCTAACCTCTTGTTCACACTCTGTCTTAGCCCTTGCTCTCACTCTGTCTAACCTCTTGTTCTCACTCTGTTTAGCCCTTGCTCTCTCTCTGTCTAACCTCTTGTTCTCACTCTGTCTTAGCCCTTGCTCTCTCTCTGTCTAACCTCTTGTTCTCACTCTGTCTTAGTCCTTGCTCTCACTCTGTCTAACCTCTTGTTCTCACTCTGTATAAGCCCTTGCTCTCACTCTGTCTAACCTCTTGTTCTCATTCTGTCTTAGTCCTTGCTCTCTCTCTGTCTAACCTCTTGTTCTCACTCTGACTAAGCCCTTGCTCTCACTCTGTCTAACCTCTTGTTCTCACTCTGTCTTAGTCCTTGCTCTCTCTCTGTCTAACCTCTTGTTCTCACTCTGTAAAAGCCCTTGCTCTCACTCTGTCTAACCTCTTGTTCTCACTCTGTCTTAGTCCTTGCTCTCTCTCTGTCTAACTTCTTGTTCTCACTCTGTCTGCCCTGTCTTGCTCTCTCTCTGTCTAACCTCTTGTTCTCACTCTGTCTTAGCCCTTGCTCTCTCTCTGTCTAACCTCTTGTTCTCACTCTGTCTTAGCCCTTCTCTCTCTGTCTAACCTCTTGTTCTCTCTGTCTAGTCCTTGTTCTCTCTCTGTCTAACCTCTTGTTCTCTCTGTATAGCCCTTGCTCTCTCTCTGTCTAACCTCTTGTTCTCCTCTGTCTTAGCCCTTGCTCTCTCTCTGTCTAACCTCTTGTTCTCCTCTCTGTAAAGCCCTTGCTCTCTCTCTGTCTAACCTCTTGTTCTCCTCTGTCTAAGCCCTTGCTCTCTCTCTGTCTAACCTCTTGTTCTCCTCTGTCTAAGCCCTTGCTCTCTCTCTGTCTAACCTCTTGTTCTCCTCTGTCTAAGCCCTTGCTCTCTCTGTCTAACCTCTTGTTCTCCTCTGTCTAAGCCCTTGTATTCTCTCTGTCTAACCTCTTGTTCTCACTCTGTCTAAGCCCTTGCTCTCTCTCTGTTCAACCTCTTGTTTCTCACTCTGTCTTAGTCCTTGCTCTCTCTCTGTCTAACCTCTTGTTCTCCTCTGTCTTAGCCCTTGCTCTCTCTCTGTCTAACCTCTTGTTCTCACTCTGTCTTTGCTCTCCTTGTCTCTCTCTTTGTCTAACCTCTTGTTCTCCTCTGTCTTAGCCCTTGCTCTCTCTCTGTCTAACCTCTTGTTTCTCCTCTGTCTTAGTCCTTGCTCTCTCTCTGTCTAACCTCTTGTTCTCCTCTGTCTTAGCCCTTGCTCTCTCTCTGTCTAACCTCTTGTTCTCCTCTGTCTTAGTCCTTGCTCTCTCTCTGTCTAACCTCTTGTTCTCCTCTGTCTAAGCCCTTGCTCTCCTCTGTCTAACCTCTTGTTCTCTCTGCTCTAGCCCTTGTTCTCCTCTCTCTGTCTAACCTCTTGTTCTCCTCTGTCTAAGCCCTTGCTCTCTCTCTGTCTAACCTCTTGTTCTCCTCTGTCTTAGTCCTTGCTCTCTCCAAACCTCTGTCTCAACCTCTTGTTCTGTCTAACCTCTGTTCTCCTCTGTCTAAGCCCTTGCTCTCTCTGTCCCTAACCTCTTGTTCTCCTCTGTCTTAGCCCTTGCTCTCTCTCTCTGTCTAACCTCTTGTTCTCACTCTGTCTTAGTCCTTGCTCTCTCTCTGTCTAACCTCTTGTTCTCCTCTGTCTAAGCCCTTGCTCTCTCTCTGTCTAACCTCTTGTTCTCACTCTGTCTTAGCCCTTGCTCTCTCTCTGTCTAACCTCTTGTTCTCACTCTGTCTAAGCCCTTGCTCTCACTCTGTCTAACCTCTTGTTCTCACTCTGTCTTAGCCCTTGCTCTCACTCTGTCTAACCTCTTGTTCTCACTCTGTATAAGCCCTTGCTCTCACTCTGTCTAACCTCTTGTTCTCACTCTGTCTTAGTCCTTGCTCTCACTCTGTCTAACCTCTTGTTCTCACTCTGTATAAGCCCTTGCTCTCACTCTGTCTAACCTCTTGTTCTCACTCTGTCTTAGTCCTTGCTCTCACTCTGTCTAACCTCTTGTTCTCACTCTGTCTTAGTCCTTGCTCTCTCTCTGTCTAACCTCTTGTTCTCACTCTGTCTTAGTCCTTGTTCTCTCTCTGTCTAACCTCTTGTTCTCACTCTGTCTTAGTCCTTGCTCTCTCTCTGTCTAACCTCTTGTTCTCCTCTGTCTAAGCCCTTGCTCTCACTCTGTCTAACCTCTTGTTCTCCTCTGTCTTAGCCCTTGCTCTCTCTCTGTCTAACCTCTTGTTCTCCTCTGTCTTAGCCCTTGCTCTCTCTCTGTCTAACCTCTTGTTCTCCTCTGTCTAAGCCCTTGCTCTCTCTCTGTCTAACCTCTTGTTCTCCTCTGTCTAAGCCCTTGCTCTCTCTCTGTCTAACCTCTTGTTCTCCACTCTGTCTAAGCCCTTGTTCTCTCTCTCTGTCTAACCTCTTGTTCTCTCCTCTGTCTTAGCCCTTGCTCTCTCTCTGTCTAACCTCTTGTTCTCCTCTGTCTAAGTCCTTGCTCTCTCTCTGTCTAACCTCTTGTTCTCCTCTGTCTAAGCCCTTGCTCTCTCTCTGTCTAACCTCTTGTTCTCCTCTGTCTTAGTCCTTGCTCTCTCTTTGTCTAACCTCTTGTTCTCCTCTGTCTAAGCCCTTGCTCTCTCTCTGTCTAACCTCTTGTTCTCACTCTGTCTTA